TAAATTTAAATTATTTTATTTGGCATTTATTGTGTGTTAATGTTCCTTTCTTTTAGTTTGCTACTATTCATTTGTCATCTGTTATTTAAATGTATAATCTTGTCATAATGGTTATTTATAATAATAAATTTTGCAGATATTTCGTTTCTCTTTTTACAAAATCCTGCAGGAACATTTAGTGAGAGGCTGCCACAAACAAATTCTCTACTATTGTTATTAATATTATGTTTTGATAACACATTTTAAAATGTTAGGAAAATACAGAATTTTGGTTCTTTGCAAAACCACTGTATTGGGAACTAATGCAGATGTTATATGATTTCATAGTTCAATCACAATTCTGGAAAACAGTTATTTCAGAAATTCCTGGGCATTCCGAGGAATTCTGATTTATTAATACCAAGTTTCAAAGAGTCATATATTTGAGAGGGGTTTTTGGCCTAAGAAGGTGACTTTAAGCTTTTCTCTGCTCCACAAGAGCATGACCATTTGAAACCTTTGCACTCAGGTGCTCGAAGGACTTTGGGTCTTTGGGATATTTCCATGTTCTTCTGACTTCATCTGCACATCTAGTGAGAACGTACTCCAAGCTTACACATCCTGCTTACATTCCTGGACCTCGCCCTTCATTTAGGGCAGCTTTTTGTTGCTGTGGCTTTTGAGGCTTGCCCTTCCAGGGAGTGTTAGCATTTCAAAGGTGGGGGATCATTTATTTACCATATGCCCAACTGATCTAACTAAAGTCTGATGGTTGTAACATGGCCCCTGGGCTCTTAAACTTTTCAAAAGGAAGAAGGGGAGAAAAGGCAAGACAAGAAACAGCCCTCTTGTTCTAGCACAGAGGTTCTCAACCTGTGGGCCGAGACCACTTTGGGGGGGTCGAACGACCCTTTCACAGGGGTCGCCTAAGACCATCAGAAAACACATAAATATTTCACAATATATAATTACATATTATTTTGTGATTAATCACTATGAATTAATTATGTCTTTGTTCAATTTGTAACAATGAAAATACATCCTGCATATCAGATATTTATATGATGATTCATAAAAGTAACAAAATGACAGTTAAGAAGTCGTAATGAAAATATTGTGATGGTTGGGGGTCACCACAACATGAGGAACTGTATTAAGGGGTCGCAGCCTTAGGAAGGTTGAGAACCACTGCACTAGCAGATCTCACAGTTGAAAAGCCTGGTCTGATTTCTGAACTGATTGGCTGTTTCCGGTTAGGTTCCACATAGACACCTACTTCACGTGGACACGGTTTTAAGATCAAGAGGTGATTCCAACGTTCTGACAAAAGAGGTGTCAGGAATCAACAAGCAGAAGTCAATCAAAGCGGGGTGCTTCTAACTCAACAGCCATTTAAAAGGAAAGAGATATAGCAGTTTGCTTCCATAAAGATGCCAGCCTTGGGAATGGCAGGGTGTCATTCTACCCGGTTCTAAGTGTCATAGTCAACTGATCAACAACAAGATTCAGGTTGTTTTGCTTACATTACTATCACTTCATTCAAGGTATCTTCTCCCATCATTCCCTCACAACATTTCCTCTTGGTGCATCAATATTTACCAGTTATCAACATTTTTTTT